CCTTTTTTAAATCATGAAGGGAAGAGCAGATCAAAGATTAATTCTAAAATGAATTTAATTACTTACCAGTAGATACTTAGTACCCTAAACCATAATGCATGAACAGCTTTGCTAACTGTTAGACTGGTCTTAAGCAGGAAGAATTCTCTAGACCGATTTTCACTGTCCTTTCATTGCTCTTCTCAGGACTCAAGACAAATACCTTTTTTTTAACCTCTGGAGAGCTACTCTAAAGAGTTACTTTTTACCTGGAAAAAACAATCATCTGGCTAGGTGGAATGAACCTGGTATTAAGCTTTAAAAATAATTATCTACAAACAAGTTTAATCATTATGATTCCACATTTAGATACTGCAGGAAATATATAGATCAGAGAGATGGTAATTATCATGTATCCACTGTTTAGTTGACAGAACATTTATAAAGACATTGTCACAATGAAGACAAGAGGAAGGAAATGTCTTCTGACAAACTTCAAAGGTTTTGGACCTCAGTACTTCACAGTGGATGTTTCTTAATAGAATGCTTGAGCCATGAATCATTTTCCCTGGAGTCCTTAGAAGGCATTAATGTGAAACAAAGAGGGTAGAAGACCTAGAGAGAAGCCCCCTATCTGCAGGCCAGTAAAAAGCCAGGGAAGGTCTGGACAACAACTTTTTGTGAGACCTTCCTCCTCTAGGAATGTGAGGAAGTTCCTTTCCAACAAGAGTTAAGCCACAAAGATTTAGAGTTATCCTGTCCTCTGATACACCAGAGTTTGAGGAGATTTTTAGAAAGAATGAATGAAGAGAAATATATGCTTGTAAGGGCCACAGGATTTTGACAGAATTTGACTTACAACTTCATGTGCGTACCTGAAAAGACATGCTCCTCTCATCTGGACTGATTCAACCCAAGTGGGCAGCCATATTGAATTTACTGAGACTCTGTTAGCTCAGCATCCAGTCTGGCTTATCAATAGCCAGGTAGAACTGTGGGAAAAAATAGAGAAATTTGTTCTAATAATGAAGATGTAAGAAAGCTGAGAGTAGCAATGGATACTTACAAGTTAACTTCTTACAAGATGACAATATTATAGTAATATCAATTAATGGCATATTGTTTGAATATGGTGTATCGATAATTATAACTTAATTCTGAATATGTTATATTTTATTTAGTAATACCACAGGGAATTTAAAATTAACTTATATGATACATAAGGAATACAATATAATAAGGAAAAGAAGATTTCTACAGTCAGTCTTATTGGCTTCAAGAGTACATACATCACAATCATGCTGGATAACATTTCAAGGACTAAATTTTTCTCATCAGCAAAATGGAAACAAGGCCAGTATTTTCCTCACTCATTCATGAATGCATTCAAAAATTCCACACTGAGTATATTCTGTGTGTCTGATATGATTTGATGAATGAATCCTTTGCCCATGAAAGAAACATTTTGCTTTTTAAATATATTAGATACAAATTTCAGGCATCTTTACAAAAAGGAAATTCATCAATGTGTCACTGTTATGAAATAAAATACAATAAGAGTGTGGCCTGCAGAATTCTACATGGAAGGTAAATAGGAAAAGGTGGTCACATAGGCATAAAATAGGAAACAAAAGAAAAAAGTGAGTTTATGGAAGACATCAGCACTCTAGAAAGAAGGAACACACAATTCAATGAAAACAGTTACACAGTTTGCCCTCTCTAATGTCAAACCTAAAGACATACAGGAATGGAGTGATGAGAACCAAAGTCTGGTAATAAAGATATGGTAAAAAGTTCATGTAGGTCTTGATGCATCACCAGACACCATGCTGATTGAAAACAGAAGTCTTGAGATGTTCTCAGTTGGCAGTTATCTGGGTATCCTGCGCCTTATGAAAACATCAAGATGTTGGCATGCAGCTCACAACAGTGTGCATCTCTAGCTCAAGGGGATCTGATGCCTCAAAGCTCTGCAGGAAGCTGCATTCATGTGTACCTATACACATATAATTAAACTTAATTTTAAAAGATCTTTTAAAAGTTGCTTGCATGTTTTGCAGAACTTTGACAAGTAAACACTAAAATTTAAAAAGAAGAATTGAAACCTCTTTGGAATATTAAGATTAGAAACTCTGTAGGATTGGACAGTGTGATGGAAGCAGGAGTAGTGGGAAGCAGGAATAATCTGAACATCTAAAAAGTAGAGCTAGTGTGGAATCTATTAGAGTGTGTAGCTGATATGATGAGATAGGAGAAGGGGATACATTATTGCCACAGAGGTATAAGTCTGATGTATAATTTTTAAAGGTGTAAGATGTGTTCTCCAGGAAGTCACTGGTACCTCCCCTTTATTAACCATGTGGTCCTTGTCAAATGGTAAGAGCATGTGAAGGAAGGACTGAGAGCAGTGTTGAGATCATCATTAACACATCTATGTGTCTGCTTTACATTTTCTAGGCACAACTGGGGACTGGAAGAATTACTTTACAGTAGCCCAAGCTGAAGCCTTTGATAAAGTATTCCAGGAGAAAATGGCCGGTTTCCCTCCAGGGCTATTTCCATGGGAATAAATTCTTAAAACTGAATATATATATATATATATATATATATATATATATATATATATATATGGAGAGTGGAGTTTATTTTCCTGTTCTTGTATATGTGAATGACTGGATGTTGTCACAGAATAAATCCTGATACTGATTTGGGTTGTTTTTTTTTTTAGATATTAATTGATAGAAATATTAGTAGTGGTAATAGTAGTGGAGGTAGTTATAGTGTGTGTGTGTGTGTGTGTGTGTGTGTGTGTGTGTGTGTGTGTGTG